TGGGCAAATTCCAGGCCTCCATCCCCTCACACCAAACACAAAGAGGCACATACATCCCTGCAAGTTCACATCTACACTTCCACAAAACAAACGCATACACACACAACAAAGGAAAAGTAATTGCTTAAGCTCCTTACAGTTTCTTCAACAGGACCACTTTCAGTCTTTAGGCCCATTAATGAAAAAATTCAATGCCTTCTTCCCTTTTTGTCTCCCCAGTTCCCTATAGAACTGTGGAAAATCTACGGGGATTCTCGACTGAGGAGCTAGTTGGTCAAGTCAGAAGGCATCTCAGGCTGTGCTTGGAGGAGCAGCATGGCTCGCAGACAGCCCTGAGGGTTTCAGCTGTGAGCTGGTTTTCCCTTCTCACCCCGATTTCACAGAACGGCTGGGGAGGGGAAAAAAAAAAAACCTCACAGGTGTCGGGGCATCGGTGAAGTACAGAGGGACTCAGACACCCTGACTTCCTACTCTCCAGGCTCGAATTTCACACCCATTTCTAACCGAACAGTACCTCTGAAGACAGCTAGCAGTACCCGTGCGGATCCCCTCTGCCGGGTCCTTTCCCTCCACGGATGCCCCACTGGGGGTTTCTCTCATTCACCGCTCACTCCCTCCACTAGTCAGTTCCTGAGATACTGTACTGAACCCTCGCACAAGGGACAACGGTCTCTCTGCAAACTCCCACTCCACTCTCTCCTCGGTCTTTCCCTGTGCACCCACAGATTTCTTCTCTCTCTGAACTGCCCGGAACGCTCATAGTTTTATTTGCCTGTTTCTTTTCTTTTTTTTTTTAAGATTTTATTTATTTGACACAGAGAGAGCGACAGCAAGAGAGGGAACACGAGCAGGGGGAGTGGAAGAGGGAGAAGCAGGCTTCCCACGTAACAGGGAGCCCGATGCGGGGCTCGATCCCAGGACCCTGAGATCATGACCCGAGCTGAAGGCAGACGCTTAATGACTGGGCCACCCAGGCGCCCCTATTTGCCTGTTTCGTACAGATCTCATGTATCATGAAGGCTGTGAACTGGCTGTGGAAAGGGGAGGCCATGCTCCCCGCAAGCCCTGTGCAGTGTGCACACGGGAGTCCAGGCACATATCAGATCTGCAAAACCTGAACTGACTGAGGCACCGTTTCCGAAGCCAGCCTTCAGTCCAGCCAAATAAACTAAACACTGGGGGATTATTAAAGGGTGTGGTAGGTACTCCCTGTGCCAACGAGCAAGCGCTCTCCCAGGGGGCTCCGTCACACACCAGGCACTCTCCACCACTGCGCTGGAAGAAGGAACACTGGCTGAGGACACCGGGCAGGATGACACGCTGACAGAATCCAGGGGGGCCCACGTAATCACGCCCACTCCAGTCAAATGCCAAACAGGGTCAGGCCAGGCCTCTCAGGCCACCAAGACTAGTGCTGTTCGGACAAATTATCTGGCAGTGATCGGCTTTCATCTGGAACCTGTTCCCCCAACTCCCAAACTAAATTCTCAAGCCTGAGGTTTCGAAGTGACAGGAGCACGACCTATGAGGCCAATGTGGAGCACTGACTTTGAATCACTGGCTACCGCTACATAGATCAATCAATGGGGAAGAAGGGAAATAAGTGGTTGTTATCAAGCCTGGAGAAATCCTAAGTTCTGACATCTGTCTGCCTCAATAGCAAATGACAGTCTCTCCAACCTAATACCATCGCTGTTCGGTTTTCTCAGGTTGATAGAGGACACTTCTTCCTTCTTTATTGTGAAATATATCATGCAAACCAAAGAATATATTAAAGATATATTCGGTTCAAAGAAGACGAGTAAGATGAACACTCGAGGACCCACCCCCCACATTCACAGTGCTGGGAAATTTCTGTGTGCTTTTTCCTTGTTTTACCTACCTTCAGCCCCACAATGAGAACCACTCTGTTGAACTCAGGGTTACTTATTCCCTTCCATTTTTTATGGTTTTACTACTTATGGAGGAATCCATAAAAAACATATATGGTTTATTTTGACATTTTTCAACTTTATATAAGTTACATCATACTGTGCTCCCCCACCCACCCCCCGTGGCCTGCTTCTCTTGTTCAACATTATGTTTCTGAGATTCCACCATATCGATGCAACTATCATTCACCCATTTTTACTATGGGATGGTATTTCATTGTAAGACAATACAACAATTTATATTTTCTTTACTCAATCAGACCCACTGACTGCATACTAATACGGTGTGTCTATAAATCAATTTATGCCACATAATAAAATAACTAGGGATGTTTCACACAATTATTCTTAAAGAGTGGGCACGATCCCACTGAAAGACAGAGCTTGGTGGTCTTATTCTGCAAGCAAATGGTCCCTTTACTGGACGACCTTGGGTAGATGAACCCCTAAATAAAACCCTTACATGGTTCCAGTTTGATAGCTTAATAAAGCAGGGGAAAGGAGAGTAAAAGGCTGTTTGACATTGCAATCTTCACCTTCCTGGACATGTCAGAGCATCTTTGATCATGGTGAATAGCACCCAAGTCCAAGAAAAACCTACCCCTCACATAGCAAAGGCTAAATATTTAGTCTAGGAGAAAGCAGGCAGAAGCCCATCCTCTACCCCAGGAAACCTAGGACAGCAGAGGATTGTCCTTGAATCCTGAAGGCTTGATTCATCACCCTGCTAATTACAGACCTTGATGAAAAAACATCAGCCAGGCCACACTTCCCAGGTTTGCAGGTGAGGAAGGGGGTACCACGGAGAGTCTCCAGAGCAAAGGCACCCCCTGCCACTATCCCTGAGCACTCCCAGGGTGCAAGGCTGACATAGCTCATCTCAGTTAATCCCAACAATGTCCTTGTGAGGCAGGTGATATCCCCATTTTGTATGTGAAAAACACTGAGGTGCCGAGAGGCTTAGTAACTTGTGCAGTATCACAGAGCAAGTAAATGACAGGCCAGAGTTCAATCTACTTTTTCTGCTTGTAAAGCCCCATACCCTGATCCAGTCAACTACCCTGCTACCACCTGATGTTCAGTGCAGCAGCAACGGGGAAAAGGAGTTCTTAGGGACAAAGAAGACACTGCCTTCAGGTGATCCTTTCAAAAGTGTTTGCTACTGAATGTCAGCAGGCTCCATGCGAACAAAGAATAAATATGTAGGGGCACCTGGGTGGCTCAGTCGTTAAGCGTCTGCCTTCGGCTCAGGTCATGATCCCAGGGTCCTGGGATCGAGCCCCACATCGGGCTCCCTGCTCGGCGGGAAGCCTGTTTCTCCCTCTCCCACTCCCCCTGCCTGTGTTCCCTCTCTCGCTGTCTCTCTCTGTCAAATAAATAAATAAAATCTTAAATAAATAAATAAATAAATACTTAGATGGCAGAGGCCTGTGAAAACTCAGCGGCCATGCGTGGAAAATGCTACAGGAGCTAAGCAGACCAGGGAGGACTCCTACACTGCTCAAACTACTTGGAGGGCACTCTGCCCACCAATAGTTGACTAGCATCGAATGTCTACCATGGGTTATGGGCAAAGATGCATCCAATTTTCTGTTGAAGTCTGGTTGCTGCTTTACAACAATCCTCAATACAAACAACAACAGAGAAGGGCTCCTGGGACACGTGAGTTTCAAGACCTATTCACTAGAGAACTTCAGAGAGCAATAAGTAGGTCAAGAACTTAATTCCAAAGGTATTAAGAACTGGACTCTGCCTTCCAACCCCCAAATAAGTGACATCAGTTGCATATGACACAAACTTTCCAAGTCAGCTCGAAGACCAAGATGGCAGCTGCCAATGCCAAAGCTAAGAAGGCGTCATTCCCAGAGAGTGAAATGCTGAGGTGTTCTTCTCCACCAGCTACTCACCACCAAAGAGATTCTGTTCTCTCTAGCTCTGGGTGCCCCTCATGCCTCTGTTGACACAAAATTTGCCAATTATTTCATTGGTCCTTACCCCGTGAGATTCGACTACTTATCCCAAGTTATAACTCATCTAGCAAGTCAAGGAAAAGAGTGAATGGTCTTCAGGGTGTGAGGCAACCCTCTACGGAGGCTTGGAGAAAAGCGAACAGGGAAATGGCACCTTGGCTTCTACTGACGCTACACACAAAAGATCCAAACATGCGATCCTCTCTTGCTCCTGACGCCTGCCTGGCAAACCCTCAAAACCACCAAATCCAGAGAGGCTGACAGCTGTCATTACAGGGATCATTCAAGATGCTGGGGGTATCGGCTGAAATCATACTGTGTTTCTCAAAGCATTATTCCCACTCCCTGGGATATGTTCAGGAAGATTTTTACTAGTTTTTTCACTTACTCTCCGCAGATAGTAACGATTTACAAACTATACTCATAAGATTCTTTTCCCTAAAATTTCCTTAAAATGTCTGGAGATTTTGTACACAGTGATAAATAATAAAATAAAAAAGTAAATAATTTTTAGAAGTCCCCAACTCCCTCCTCCCCAATTCTCTAATATACCTGGGAATTCAGGTGGCTTGGAAATGAATTTGCACTGTTAACCCAGATGTAAGATGGGTATATCAATAAATAAAATTAAGTCATTCCTGATAGGTATAATACGTATAATATAACTCAGACTCCAAGTGCAGGAGGTCTTAATCAGTACTCCAAAGGGAACCATGGATCACCTCCAGAAACAGAAATGCACAGACAGAAAATCTCACATACAAAGAACCATTGCTCTAAGCATTTCTGTGTGTATCTTAAAAGGATAACTCTGGTTGCTGCCCCCATAACATAAAACACCAGTTACGTTCTGTTCAACAATCCCTCTTATCCAAATAACCAGCTTAGCCAGTCCCAATCTCTGACAAGGAACGCCTGACCCTTCTGAATATCCCAAATTCTGTACTCCCCTCTGGACCTCCTTAACAAAGTGAGTCAGTTGGAAATTTCCAACAGTTTCTAACATAAATTGTTCCTCGCCACCTCCCAACATGTTTTCAATAGCTCTGAGCATCCTCCTAGCTCCTGCTCATCCACAAGGGGGCAGAGGTTGTCTTACCGAGATCTCCCACCAAAGCAGTTTGTGCTGGGGGGCTGGTGTCGGTTCTCTGGAGCAACAGCTGTCCCGCTGGATTCTCTTGAAGGTGGCTGAGATCCTAAATAGGGGACCCATCACAAAAAAACACAGAAACATTGAGAAGCTCAACCCTTGTTTGAGATGTGGCTCAGGAACGAAGTTCAGTCCGTGCATTCAAGTGACCCACCACAGCTTGCTAGCAAGCTGCGGCCTCCAGCAAGAACAGGGAATAGGGATAGCCAGACGAGATTCAAGCGGGGTTCCAAAACAGAGGCGCTCAAGCCTGGGAAACAGCTCTTCTTCTCCGAGACCTTCAAGAACATCTAAGGCACTTATAAGCAACTTGCCTTGTGCATTAAATAAACTTCAGCTGCACCACGTGAGACACAGAACAGATGCTGACCACGCAAAGTAGGGGCAAGCAATGGGGGCATTTGTCCATATCGCAACCAGAAAGCTTTTAAAAGCCAAAGCCGATTCAATTCAAATCAAATCACGACACTCTTCTGCTTAAAACCCCTCAAGAGCTTTCTGCTTCTTAGGATGAGGTCCAAACTCCTCACCAAGGTCTTTGAGGCTGTGGTGATCTGAGCCAACCTGCCCTTATGGTCTCACCTGCCACCACTCTTCTTCTTGCTCTCCCCAGTCCAGCCACCCTGACCACCTCTGTTTCTACTGCAGGCCAAGCTCACTCCCACCTCAGGGCCTTTGCACAGGGGACCCTGAGTAAGAGTACTCAGCTACCCCATTCCCACACTTCCATCTTGGCCTATCTAAACTCTTCAGCTCCGGTGGATCTCGCTTCCTCGAAGAGACCTTCGCTGGCCCCCAATTTAAGTGAGATCCCCCTAAAGTATGAGAATCTCATATCACCCAGTACTTTTCCTTCATAGCTTTTGTCATGATTACAATTACATAATTATTTCTTCATTTATTTGTTTCATGTCTAACATCCCTGCCCCCACCAATTAAATCATGAGCTCCTAGGAGTAGAGACCATATGAATTTTGCCCCTGCCATCTGGCTAGCACTTGGTCCAAGATCTAGTATATACCAGGTGCTCAATTATGGATATATGTGCAGAATGAGTGAATAATGCATGTTTTCTCCATACACCAAAAGTACCCAAAGCACCACTCCATCCAGGGAGGATTCTCAAGTCAAGCCCCATCCAATCACAGAGATTCTACCCAACTGCCCTTAAATCAGAATTCAAATTTCACTCCCTTGAAGCTACAGAAAGCGTGTCTGGGGCCTGGAAAGTGCCACAGTTACCTCACATTCAACGAGAAAAATTATGGAGAAACCCAACCCATCTCAGACTTCAGACTTCATGAAATAATTTGCTGCTAGATCCAAAGGTGACTAATTTCAAACTAGATCAAAAGAAACAAACTGCCCTCATTCAGGACAGAGTGGGAGATACTCCAATTTCCCTGCTTCTGTCTGTATTTTGCTAGTGTGAATCTCTAAGACACACAGTCCCCTTTCCCAACCAATACCGTCATATAAAAGACACCTTCAAGCTCCCCAGGAAGTGTAACTGTATTGGGAGGAAAAATGGGCCTAAATAACATTTAATAAAGACATTTTATTTTCCAGAGTCCATGTGGGATGAAAAGATATTTTCTCTGCTCTCAAAGCAAAACAACAACACTCGTATAAAGACTTGACGTTTATTTTGGTCTTTTATCAGAAAGCTGTCCTTAAAAAATCGTGTCACAGTTTTGATCATGCTAAGACTGCTAAGAGGAATCAGGGCTAGCTACGGGCCAGGGCTTGCTGAGTGGGACCCAAACCCAGGTACCTGGTCGAGAACCAAGCCCGGGGCACCTCCCCCGCCCCAGCCCTGCCCCACCCCATCCCAGCACAGCCCCAGGGAGCAAGCAGGGCGGCACTCACCGTCTGTCACTGCGCTGCCATTAGGCACGCTTCCCAGATCAACAGTTGGCCCGTCCAGGAAAATTGTCAGCTCACCGCCCGACACAACGCCGCCTTTGTTCTCCGTCTGCAGGTTCAGGGTCAGCTGCGTGTTCTCCACTGTTGAACAAGAAAAGCAACAGGGATGGACTAAAGCAAATGCACCCCAAGTTAAGATTCTGCGAGTTATCAGCCCTCACTTAACCTACTCTGGCATCCTTGCCAACATTTTTCTGCCGCTTCGCATCTGTCTTGTGGCATGGAAGGAAGAATGGGAAGGAACAGGTCTAATTGTCATCACTGCTGTATTAGACTGGGGGGAAAGGCTGCATTCTTGTTTTTCAAAACATGTTATATCTTTATAATTTCTACATGACCGATTTGTTTGCTTATACTTGCAGGACTGTGAGAAAACCCCAGAGATATTTGATGGCATATAGAGGAAGCAGTGAGGAGCAGCATTCCGCCCCACCCATATAAAGAGTGGTGGCAAAAAAGAAGAGAAACAGGTCAGGAGACCCTGAGGAAATGTCATCAGGAGTCATCTCTAGGTGAAGGATTACAGGGGCTTCTTCTCAGATTATCTGTATTTAAAAATAAACTGTTTTTAATGTTCACTTCTGAAGATGTTTCACTTTGAAATAAGGTAAAATTTTTAAGCAATAAAAGTTCAGCAAAGGTAAGTCATCCCCACAATAGTCACATGGCACTGGGTTAGTCCCTGAGGAGAAAGCAGTCGACGAGGGGCTCTGCGACGCAGTTAAGAAGGCACCTCGGAGTGGCCTGGCCCCTAGAACACCAGGCAGTCAGTCCTGTGGGCGAGCAAGAAGACTCAGGAAACCACAGCAGAAAAACAGAACAAACTGACACGAGGCAGAAGCCCCAAGCCCTCTGTGGGCTGGAAACTGCTGCACACGCGCCCCCCCCAACCCTCACCACCAAGCCTGGCCACACGGAACAGCTTCCACCCAGTTAATGTTCAGGTGCTAAAACCTCCAGTCCAGGGTCATTCGGTAATGACCGAGAGAGCAGTGTTTATGAGGATTTCCAAACAGCACACAGCTCTTCCACGTCTTCCCACACCGTACAGAGCGAGGCTAGGAGAGAGCCACATGTTTCAACCTCCCTCCCCACCCACCACCCATCAAACCACCGCTTGATTCTATCTCTTAGTTGCTACTGTATTATTATAAGTTATCTCACTGGTTTTCTAGAACGAGGCAGCATATGCGTAAGTACTTTCTAGAAACAACCTCCCCCAACTAAAAAAGCCAGCCCCAAATATAAGATACAGACACAATCCTTTAAGAACTAAGGAAAAGTCTGGATCAATTCAAGGATCTACTATAATAATGTGGAAACCAGTTACCCTTTAGGTGTTCAAGTTCTCCTAAGCATCTCTACCTTCCCTTGCTCTCTCTTGCCTGTAATGGATCTCTCCAAATCCTTTTGAGTCTGTTGCTATTTTCAGTCAGTTTCACTCAGGGGCTTGGTGAGTTCCAAACATCTCTATAAAGTAATACTTGTAATCTGAAGGTGAGTTCTTTCAAAAGTCTAGTAGTCAGGAAAGAACTGAGGCCCTTTGACCACCCCCTTGTCAGCCATGCAAATGAGCCACCTAGAAAGGAGAGCCTCCAGCCCCAGTCTAGCCTTCAGATGACTGTGGTCCAGCCACTGTATGGACTACAACTTCATGAGAGATCCCAGGCCAGATTTCCCAGCTAAGCCAGTCACAAATCCCGACCCACTAAAAACCAGGAGATAATATTTATTATTATTGTTTAAAAGAGAAGTCAAGGGGTGTCTTCCTACTGTATTATGTGGAGATCCAGGGCCTAAGTCCCCAGCAGGTAGTACAGCACAGAGGTTCAGGATGGGCACCAGCCAGGCAGACTGGGTTCAAATCTCAGTTCTACTACTTAGTAGCTACAGTATTATGCAAATTACTTAACATGAGCCTCAGTCTCCCCACATGGAAAACAGGAGCAATAAGAACACATTTTCCAGGGGGCACTTGTAAAGAATGAAGCAGCCCCCAGGGGGCTCCTAATAACTTGTCATTTTTATTATCTCCCTGTTGACTTTCCTGTTTTTAGGCTGCAAAGTCCTGATTTCTCTTAGTCGAATTTGTTCATTGCAAACATGCACTTCTCTTGACCTTTTGGAGCCTTTTCTGGGTTGCAGCAACAAACTCCAAAACGTCTTCCAAGGTGAGCTACCTAACCATCCCAAGGACAAATCACCTCCTCATCTTGTTTCCAGGACACTTCCTAAAGATGCCCTGCCTTCTGAACTCAGAAATGTGCTGGGATGAGCATTCCAGAAGGATTCCTTGATTCCTTTCTTGGTGTCTCAAAGGCCATTATTTTACAAATGGAGTGTGGGCATGGCTTTCCCTGCTTTTTGGAGGGAAGATAATGTTCAAGAGGAAGGTAGGGGAGTCCCCCCCCACCTTGTTGCTTATTTCAAACTCCTGACGGTCACACTGCTGTGGTCCTCTGTCAGAAGCCATACGCATAACTTGAATTTTTCTCTACATGGTCTCATCTCAAGGTTCTAACTTAGTTCTTCTCTCTACCCCTTAATCACATCCAATAGAGTCATTATATATTTATAGGCTCAGAAGTTACCTTGCAATACCTTGAGATATATTTTACCTTCAAAAAAAGCCAGAGAGGGGCGACATCTTTCATCTTTAAACAAAACTTTTGAGACCATAATTCCTCCATTGTTCCATTTACTAAAAAAAGAGAGAGTCAGAGAGACCTCTGACCACCACCGTCATAACCAAGTGGTCAAACGAAGTATTCCTAAGAGCGACACAACCTGACACACACACACTTCCTGATGTGATGCAGCATGAAGTACGCACATCACTTTTAAAGTCTTCTTCCTAAAAGCATTGAGCCTGAATCCAATTAAGCCGCTAAATCTCCTTTCCAATTTATTACATGAAATAAGGGGACAGAGAAACAAATTCAACGATACCATGAGGAAGCAATCAGACAAATTCAGAATAGAGGACATCTATACAGTAACTGTCCTGGGTTCTTTAAAAAAACAATGTCATTAAATACATTTCTTTTCTTAAAAAAGTGGGGCAAAGGGGCGCCTGGGTGGCTCAGCCGGTTAAGGGTCTGCCTTCGGCTCAGGTCATGATCCCAGGGTCCTGGGATCGAGCCCCGCATCGGGCTCCCTGCTCCGCAGGAAGCCTGCTTCTCTCTCTCCCACTCCCCCTGCTCGTCGTGTTCCCTCTCTCGCTGTGTCTCTCTCTGTCAAATAAATAAATAAAATCTTTAAAAAAAAAAAAAAAAGTGGGGCAAGAAGGTGACTCTTCTAGATTTGAACAAACATAACCACCAAGTACCATGCCGTGTTTTACGAAACGTTAGTTTGAAAAAAATATTCTTGGGGTGGGGCACCTAAGTGCACAGTCAGTTGAGTGTCCAACTCTTAGTTTCAGCTTGGGTCATGATCTCAGGGTCAGGAGATGGAGCCCAGTGTTGGGCTTCACGCTAAGGACAGAGTCTGCTTAAGCCTCTCTCCCTCTCTTTCTGCCCCTCCCCCAACACTCTCCCTCTCTCTCCAATCAATAAAATATAAAAAAAAATTCTTGGGGCAAGTGGAGAAATTTACATCCAGACTAGATATTAAATGATGTCTGAAATGACTGTTAATTTTCTTAGATTCAATCAGAACCTATGGTTTTACACATGAATGTTCTTATCCTTGGGAGATGCAAGAAGCTTATGATGATATCCACAATCCCTGAACGGTTTTATAGGAGAATAAGCTGAAATTTTTAGGAAGGAAGTGTCAAGTTATCTGCAATTTACCTTCAAATGGTTCAGGGAAAAAAAGCACATGCCCACAGTCTCACACAGATAAAACAAATGCAGCAAAATGATAACAAGTGTTGGGTCTAGGTAGAGGGCATGTGGGTGTTCACTGTATTCCTCTTTCATTCTCTTGTCTGTTTGAAAATTTCATAATAAAAAGTTGGAAAAGCACTTTTTTAAATTGGCAAGGCTATTAAAAAATTAAACCTCTGAGAACAGAACACCCCATTATTCTCTTTGAAAAAATTACCTGAGCCAGGGGAGCCCTACAATGCATAATGGGACTAAAGAAACCATTAGCTGAGTGAGTGACAGACTTGAGCATACAGGGGAGGCTGAAAGGAGTAAGTGTGGCTGGAAAACATACACTGGAAGCTTAGCTATAAATAGCAGCCTGAGCGGCTTCGCCTCTGGGGCCCTCGGGTTTCACTACAGCCACGCTGACAACCCTACAAAGGGCCTTTCTCTTGCACCATGTCTTCCTACTGCCTTTTGAGGCATTGCTCAAACACCAAGAAACTGCTGGAAAAAAGGGCACAGTAAGTCGACTGCCATAACCAGAATCAGATTGCGCCGAGGAAGCGCACCAGTTACTTGCAGCTTCGTTACCCCCCACCTCTGCCACGGTCATGCCATCCACGTTTGTGTAGCGAGCACCTACTAGTTGAGTCACTGAAATTTAACAGCAACCAAACAGACAAAAATCATATGCCTGGGTGTTCCTATTCTAGGTGGGGGAAACAGACAATAAGCAGTTTTTTTTAAGACAACTGCATCATCTGTTAGAAGGTGGCAAGGGCAGGAGAAACAAATGAACCAAGGAAAGCAGAGGGTGAGTGCTAGAGGCGGGAGGAGGATTTGTGGTAGTAAGAAAGGCTTGCTGGGGAGGTGACAACTGAGCAGAGACTGAAAGAAGGAGGGGGCAGGGGAAGCCGTTTAGGTTCTGGGGGAAGAATATTCAAGGCGGAAAGAAAAGGAAGCACAGAGGCCCCACGTAGGAGCAGGCCTAGCCTGTCTGAGGAATGGCAGGGAGGCTGGTGTGGCTGGAGTGGATGAGGGCCGATGGAAGCAGGAGATGAGGGCAGTAGGTAGGTCCCCAGAGCCCACAAGGAAAGCCCTGGAGCTCCCACAAGGTCTCTGGAGTTTCCTCTGCGTGACACTGGGAGCCATTAGGGGACTGTGAGCAAGGAAAGGCAATGAGTGGCACTGTAGTGCAATCACTCTGGCCGCAGGAGGAGCAAGGGCTGAGGCTGACGAGACCTGGTAGGAAGTCAGGGCAAT